ACATGGGCTTTAAGTTGTGGGTTTGTTGCTTGTCATGGGCGACTGCTTGTACATCCTCTTCTTTTCTCTTGGACAGACTCCCTCTTTTCAAGTTGGCAACTTCGTGCCCTTCAATTTTTCCATTTTTGATAGCTCTTTCTATTATTTCTTCGGATAAGGCCAAATTCGCAAATTTTTTTGTGACATTGCCAATTAATCTTTCATAGAATGGAGCTCGGAGTGTGTTTATGAACAATACAGTCATTTCCTTATCAATGACAAAGGGTTGAACTTGTTCTGTTGTATCCCTCCATCTTTGGGCATATTCTTTGAAGCTATCGTTTTGCTTCTTTTCCATGGTTTGTAGTGATAACCAATCAGGAGGTAATTCAGCCACATGCTTGTATTGCGCTACGAAGGCCTTTGCTAGATATTTCTAGGTCTTAACATGATTCCGATTTACTTGTACATACCACCGAGTAGCTGACCCAGTTAAATTGTCTTGGAAGAAATGGATTAACAACTTGTCATCATAAGACTGAGCAACCATCTTTCGACAATACATGATAATATGTGCCATTGGACACTTTGTTCCATCATATTTTTCAAATTTCGGAATCTTGAACTTGGCAAGGATCACTACATCAGGCATTAAGCAGAGTTTAGTTGCATCCATGGTATCGACATATCAACTCCTTCAATATCATGAAGTCACTCTTTGAACAAATCATACTTTTTCTTGACCTTTTCATTTTCCCCTATCTGCTATGAGCTTTTTCTTAATTTTTCTTGCTCTTTTGGATCATCTAAATCAAGGACATGTATTGGTTCAGTGAGATTTATTTCGAAATTCAACCTAAATTACCCATGAATCGGTTGATAAGTTATTGGGGGTGATACATTGTAATAAGCAGGTGGTGTCACTTGCGGGTGAACTTTATGAAAAGTTTGGGCATGGGGTAAGTGAACAGTGAGGGATAAGGTAGATCATCACTTGGGTTGCCTATCCTTGCTTGTCGACAAGTATTATGAACACGCTGGTCACCATTCTCAGGTTGTTAAGCTATTTTGGAATCCTTATTATTTTTTAAACCATAAACATGAATTAGATGCATTTCCATTTCATGAATGTGATGAAAAAGGGTAAGATTTTCAAGTTTTTTATTTTTTATCTATTTTCAAAGAATTAGGAACTGATAATGACGAGAGTTAAATTATTGTGCTTTTTTTCATGCCTTTATGAAACTAATTATGCATATGTGATGTGTATGAAAAATATTGGCCATCCAAGAATAATTATCATGAGGAATATTGATTCATAATGATGATACCGTAGATTTAACCGAGATTCGTTCAAGTAATAGTTGTTGCATGGCCAATATTTCCTTATATGTAATGATGTAGATGGGTGCATGACAAATGAAAGAAAAAGAATATTCAAGTCAGTACAGTGAATTACTTTACTTGCATTAGAAATTAAAAATGGAACCTATTGTCATGGGTATTCATCACATCGTTGGACATAACTTACTCCACGATTCTTATTTTTTCGTGAAGAATTTAAAGTAGAGGGTGTAAAAGGAGTTCCTTCGTGTATGCCTAATTCAAGGTCATACTCTTTGACACATAGGTGAAGCTTTACCTAGAGAAAGGGCACTTATGGCACTCTATGTGCTAAGTTTGGTTTTAAACAAGGCTAAAGGTTCTCAAATTATTCCTCACTGTTGTCCACTCGGACTAGTAACGCACCACGATCCTCACCCATAGGTTTCAAACGAACTAAGTTCAATATGAGTGGGAGTGTTCATTAGCCCAGGCAGAGGTTATCACCCCATGAGAGCATAGCTACTAAACTCCCTTTTAATAAAAGACAAAGCCCAAGTAGAAGGCTTATGCATGAATGCAACATGTGTCGTGTGTGTGAAGGAACATACCAACCTTTGACGGAAAATCTCACATCTCTTTATCCTAAATTTCCCACAATTTAAAAAGTAATAAAATAATGATTATAAACCAATTACCGCTCAAAACAAATATTCAAATTTAAAGGAAAACACTAAATTACTTAGGACTTAAGATAACCTATGATTAATTATGGCTCAACTCTCTTTTTTCCCTAGTGGAGTCGTCAAGCTGTTGTAACATGTTGGGTCCGAAAACTCAATCGCTAGATGGAGGGTATTTTAAGGAGTTGCAACCAATCTTTTTTTACTGAGGCGCGATTGGTCACCTACTAAATTGGATCTACTCAATGAAACCCTAAATTAATTTTAGGTCCATCCAAAGAATGATAAACTGATCTACGTATTTTATTTAAAATTGGGTTTGGGAGTATGGTTACGCATAGAAAAAGATTACCATCCTTATGACGGCCATTCCACCAATGGTACCATTTAATCATATATTATCTTAACCTATTAATTTTATTCTTATGTTTTCTTAATTATTATTTATTTAATTTCTCTTTTATTCTATTAAACTGTTCTATTTGGTTTTACCAGTGTGAAGTACGTATGATGCGATTATGAAATGCATGGCATAAAATCGAGATAATATCAAACAAAAACCTTTTATTGAGTGTACTTTCTAAATCTGCTTATCATATTGGTGGGATCTAAGAGTATTTTCTCATTTAAGGAAGTACCCGAGAAACTCGCTTGTGCAAATTTACTTGGTAGATCCCATCATCAGGATAATCGTTTGCGAGTAAAAATAGTATTTTCATGAATGCAAATTCTAATACGGAAAAAAGTTTTTTATTAAAGATATTTCTCCGAACCCTTTAATCATACTGGTGAGACTAGGAAGTATCTTTTCACCTATGGAGTTTTCGAAAGAAACTCGCCTTAGCAAGCTTCCTCGAAAAGTCCCATTATCAGGACTTATGCTTGTATGCAGAATATGTTTATATGACATGACATTTAACAATGTAATAAAGGTACATGATGCACTTGAAAATTCCATGTTCATTTCTTATCTTTCACAAAATTTACTACTTTTCTTTATGTGCATATTTATCATGAATAAATATTTTACATTTATTTATTATTTTTGTATAACCATTTCTATTTCATCATATATTTTGCTATGTAGGCACTTATTTATTTTATTATGTGAAACTCCCCCAAAATCATATTTTTAGATCAAGTATTTTTATTATTCATAATTAATATTATTTACGCATACATATTTTATCCTTTTTTGTATTATTATGGTCAACAAATTTATTGCTATCATTAATTTCTTATTTCTTTTATTTGTATATTTTTATTAATTGATAATTATGTATAGTTTTTTATTTATTTAAAATTAAGAACATCGAAATTCTGAATTAAGGCCCTCTTATAGTATTGGTAGAGTCTTAATCGAAATCTCTAACCTAAGGAAATTCATTTGGAATTACGACTTTTCGAGTTTCAAATGGACATCCCATCGTTGGTATTGATTCCAAATCTAACATTATATTTTATACTTAATAATTCCATATTAGGTGTTATTCTTTTAATTTTAATTTTATTTATTCATTTATTGATTTTTTTAGACCCAAGCCTAGAATCTTTCCTAACTATTAACATTGATCCAAAATATATATTTTATTATTATTTTTGTCATTTCTCTACATATATTATTATATTTTTTTAAGAAAAACTAAATCTTCCTTTATAAAAAATATATTTTTTATGTCTTTATATTTTTTATTATTTTTATTATTTGTTTATTTTTTATTTATCTAGATTTATGTTCTTTATAACTATGCATTTCTACTATTTCTTTGTTATTATTATTATTTTTGGTTGATTTTTTGTTTATTTTGATTTTCTAACACTAAATTGGACCTATATATTTAGACATATAATTTTCTCCTAGAATGGTTTTAAAATTAAACTAAAAATAAATTTTATTTAAGTAAAATAAACTAGACTCAAATCAACCTAAATAAACCCAAATAAAATAAGAGAATTATACCTTATTGGACTAAGATTGATCCAATTTTGCATGCCTGCATAAGACCCAAGCTTAGGGGTGTGCGGTTCGATTTTTGATAAAAATTGATCAAAAATTTGAACATTATAACAGACCGAATCGTATAGGGTATAATGTCGGTTTCGATCGATTTTTAAGAGGCTCGGTTCAGTCAGTTTTTGAAGAATGAAAAACTGATAAGCAAGGGTGGTAGATTAATGACTACTGGTTTCGACGGGTTGGAGAGAGAGAGACAGGGAGTCAGGGAGAGGCAGGAAGCAAAAAGCAGGAAAGGAAAGTGGGGAGAGAAATTAGGTGGGGTGGGGAGAATTAAGTGGGGGTGAAATTAGGCATAAAAAAGAAAGGTAATTTTATCTTTAAACTTTTTTAAAAAATTCATCAACTTATCAATCTATTCGGGAGGAAAAAAATCCTCTCGACGACTGAGTCAATCGGCCGACGAGACCGATTGGAACAATCGAACGGTAGTCTCAAAGCACACCGCTGTAAACGGTGCCGTTTTAGTCTGTTATGCCTGAGTATAAAAGCTTTTCTTTTTGTTTTGTATTCTTTCTCTACTATTTTCCCTCTCCGGCTGTTCTTCTTCTCTCCTCTCTCTCTCTCTTTTTTTCCTCCCTTGTCTTTCTCTTCCTCTCCTTTCTCTATCTCTTTCTTTCTCTTTTTTTTTTTCTTTCCTTCCTTCTCCTTTCTCCTTGCCTCCGGCCTCCCTTCCAGCGGGCGTCTTCTTTCCTCTCCCTCTCTTTCTCTTTCTTCTCTCCCTTTCTTTTCTCCTCGCGCCGGTCTCTCCTCTCTCTCTTCTTCTCTCTCTCTCTCTCTCTCTCTCTCTTCTATTAAATAAATTATTCAATGAGAGATATATGATGTCAAAGTTTAACAAAAATTTGCTGTTAAAACTGATAAGTTTTTAAGGCACAAACAAGAGGCAGATGATTAACAGCTCCACAAGTGATTCGTTTGTCCAGAGAAGTCAAGTTCACAGCAAAATATTTCAAATTGTGCTAAATGATGTAAAGATCATGCCAACAAAGCATTAGGAATTTGAGATAATTAAGCACAATTTTATTCATTTATGCTTAGGACACACCAAACTACGGTTTGGTCCCATGTAACTAGACACATGCAAATGCTACATTAGTTGTGAGGATCCCCATGAGTTACAACATCGACCTCCTCGCCAGCGTACGCGCAGCACCTCTGGCATGCCGGTCCAGGGATTCTAATATTACAGCAACCAAATCTGCAGCCTCCATATCTGATGGCAACGTGTACCTCAGCCTCAGTTGTTTGAGTAGCCACTTCAGCTGTAAACTCATGTTCAACATGTTAAATTATTAAAGTTGGTTGTTTACATATTTCAACTAATGCAAAGAATATTTCAACAAGAGCAAGGGATAAATTAAGAAGCCAGCTGACCATTATTGATATCTGTGGTAGTTTCAGCAAGGTGTCCAGCAGCCATCTCTGAAGAGATGAGAACAACAGCAGCAGCTGAAAGAGCAAGGAGGAGGAAAGTCTTGGAACTCATCATTCTTATCAAAGTAAAACAATGTTTGACCAAAGTATTTGGAGAGGCAGGGCTTTCACCATCTCCATTATATATGCAATTAACTTAATCGTTTCATCTCTTTTACGTAGTTTATTATTGTTAAGTAGTAATGAAAGCAACATTGTCTGAATATTTTAGATATTTCTTTGGCCCCAACATTTAATGAATCCAACCTGCCACAAGTCCCACAGTCTTCTTTCTCCAATTCTTGTCAAGATCCCATTTGCCAATCTGTCAGAAATTGGGCTCCCTTGAAGAGTACGTTTGCTCATTTTTCAAACACTAGCACCTGCATGTCTTGAAAGTTATGGTAATGATTACCTCAAGCATTCCTTATGAAATCATGCATTGAGTCCGCGGTATTTGCATTGAAGAAAGGCACAGTGAAGTTAACGTTTTGCAGACTAGTCACAGTGTTTTGTAGACTAATTGTATCACCTTTAAATATAGTCAATGCAAGCGAGCTTTTCAGGCAATAATTTAAACTTTTGGTGTCAACAAATTCAACAAAACTTGTACGAGCTTTCCATATACTTAATGCACTTTCTTTTGTATTTTTATTTCTTTGTTAGTACTTTTTCTTTTATAAAATTCTATATTAATACATCTTGAAAGATATATGTTGAGACCAATTGATGTCATTTCATCAAATTGATGATGAAAACAAAAAAACAAGCGGAAAATATTTTAATTAATTGACTGTCATTTTCATGTAACGTCTATTTTAGAGTTTAAGAAACAAAACATTTAAATAATTAAGTTAAATTTAAATTCAAATTTTAAGTTGAATTCACAATTTATTTTAATTTATATAAATTTTTTGAAATTGATAATGATGTTTAATGCAACCCAATTCATACCTAACTTTGACACATTGATCACAAGTACTGTTATTATTCCATGGGGTTGTGTCGATGAAACAAGCCACAGCCTCGAACTTTCAAGCAAATAGTTGTTGTCTTCTTTGATTCATATTTCAACTCCTTGATGGTCCCTCCTGGATTAAAAATCTTGACTAGACTTATGGGAGCGAACTTCGCCCCACTGGACAGTGTTTTATAAAATCATCCGTTTGATATGTCAATGATTCTTTAATGTTTTGACGAGATGATTTTATTGATTATGTGATATCTTATCTTCTATCATATTTGAATGTGATTTTTAAGATTTATATAATAATTCAAGTCCATCAATACTAATAACTTAAATTTAAGCTTGAAAAGTGATAGATTAGTACTGCTTGGATTTGAATCGTTAAAAATGATATCAGAGTATGCATGTTCATTGGAACCGCACAAAGAAAAAAATATTTTATTAATATCAAAATAAGTATAAAGGGATTCGACAACGCCACCATCGGGCTATAGAGGTAGCCTCAAATGATTCATTATAAACATACCTTTTCCAGTATGATAACCCAACAATCCACCCGACTGCTCACCCCTTATGGCCCAATGATGACGTTTGCGAGTCCCTTTGTACATGTTTTGATATTAATAAAATATTTTTTCTTTATGTGGCTCTAGTGGTTGCGTATATGGCATTTGTTATGCCCTTTGATTTTAATGTTGCATTATGTTAATTTAATTTGTGGCTATTATTGTTGTTTGTTCATATTTAAGTTATTGGTTAGTTTACGTGAAAGCATCCATTCAAATACCGCACGGACTATTGTATACTTAAGTGAAGCAGCGTAGTTCGTAATAGTACATTTGAGCTAATGTATCTATATTATAACAAAGTGTGACAAATAGGCCTTTCAAGTTAATTAAAAATAATTGATTTATAAATAGGTCACTTAAGTTTAGCAGCCACTTTTCATTTGGCTGTGAAAACAATTGTATCAAAGTGTGACAAGTAGGCCTTTCAAGTTAATTAATAATAATTCAGCCCACACCATCGTCTTATGGTAGGGTTTGTTAGAAAATAAACAAAGGTTAATATAAATAGGTCACATAAGTTTAGGGGCCACTTTTCATTTGGCTATGAAAACAAACGCTTCAAAGTGAATTTTACAAAAATCTCTCGATCGTAAGATTTGGGGATTTTCAAAAGCAAATTTTGGACAATAAAATGTAAAAGTCATTGCTGGATATCATTACAAGGTGAGTAAAACCCTCTTTTAAATCAAAGAAAAGTACTTGATTGATTAAGAAGGATTTGGGTTAAAATTGAAAAGAAAATCTGTTGAAAGAATCAAGTTTTGTATACCGTACCATCACTTTAAGTCTAGTTCTGTACTGATTTATGGAAGTTTTTCTATTTGAGTTACGTATGTTTGGAAAGCTACATGAGTCTATGTTTTAACGAACCAAATGGAATTGGATTCCGAGTTTCCTATGTAAAGATGTGATTTTTTTTTTGTAAAGACAGTACAAACTGCCTGGCAGCAATGCTAGGGTCAAATTCAAAAACATTCTGAACTTTTTATACAGTGAATTAAGTTTTGAGTTTTAGATGGACAGAAAGCCTATTAAGTCTAGTTTTCAATACATTAAACAAATCTAGATTTTGAGTTTCGTAGCTTAAAATATAGTCATTTTAGTGAATAACATGCAAGCTGTCTAAATTTCTGATTTAGGAGAGTTTTGGATTATTTTGTGTAGTTTCAGGTGTTAAGTATGTTTTAGAAAGTTAGATTGTTGCTAATATGTTTAAATAATTATTATTAGGCTTTTGATATTTTTCGGAGGAAGCGAATTTGCTAGAACAAAGGGAGGTAAGTATATCTTCACACACCTTACAACTATCCTATAAGAATATTTCTTGAACGAATCAAATGTTTTATTTCATTATTTTCAGTATATGAAAATAGGGTCAAACATGTGATTATTTTCTGTTTTGTGCTTAATAATATGATGAATCAAAGCAACAGCTTTATCACTCATATATTCATACACATAAACATTTTAATGCACATTAACACACCAAACACTTATGATTTTGATAATATTACACACACATCAATCTTACAATTTTGTTGGAGTGCTCAAAGATCAATGTTACATTTTATTGAACACCACCAAGTTTTTGATAATGACTAGCATGGACAATTGTGCTATAACTGCACTTTGCATCTTGCTTTACATAGCCTACAACTCTTTCATCTGATAAACTTGGTAGCTTCAACTTGCATTTTGTGAAACTGATCGGGAAGAAATTAACTTTGGAAGATGACACATAACTGACCTGATAATATTTGTTAAAACTAGTCAGACAAAGATCATGAATTTGAATAAAAAATCAACAGTTATTTTGTGAGAACTATTAAAACTCACCGAAGAGCATTAGCTTCCTCCACTTCTGGAGATTTTCCTTCTAATATCATATTTTTGTTGACCTCTCTCAAAGACCTTAACCAACCACCATGGTTTTCCAGTTGTGAACACAATGTATCCCATGCTCAATCCACAAACCAGCCCACATCCATATCCCATCAATATAGAAAATTTCCAATTCACAGCATCACCATCTTCATCAGACTTTGTTGGTTGTGGTTCCAAATTCTGCTCATTACTACATTCCTTTGACAAAGGAAATCCACATAAACCCAAGTTTCCCATGTAGGAATCATTTGTGAAAGTATCAAATTGATTGCCTTGAGGAATGAGTCCCATGAGATTATTCCAAGAAAGGTTTAATACCTCTAAGAATATAAGATTTACTAAATGTGAAGGGATTTTTCCTTCAAGCTTGTTCGATGAGAGATCTAATGATTCAAGTACTGGCAAATTCCCTAACAATGATGGGATAGGGCCAGTTAAACTATTGTGAGAAAGGTTGAGAACTACAAGTGAATGAAGTTCCCCAAGTATTTCGGGAATCTGTCCATGAAATCGATTATTGGAAAAGTCAATAACTGTCAAAATCTTTAAGATATTGGGAAACTCCATATCCAACCCTTTTGTTGTAATATATAAAAAATGATAAAAATATTCAACTTGATCAGACCCAATATACATCATGTAATTTGAGTCACCTTTGTTTTCACTTCCATTTCTTATAGCATGCAGATTTTCAAAAAATTTCATTGACAAAAGGCCATTGAAATCATTGTATGAGAGATCAACTATTCTCAGATGAGAGAAGGAAAATCTACCTTCAAAGTTGTCAATGTGACCATAGAATCTATTGTGACACAAGATAAGAACTTGTAGATCCAAATTTCCTAACCAATATGGAAATGTATCATTTAAGTTGTTGTTCCTTACATCTAATATTTCCAATTCCGAGCAATTAACCAAAGAGCGTGGCAATGACCCTTCTAGTTGGTTGTAACGGATGCTAAAACTTCTTAACAGACAACCTTTATGAAAATTTCCAGGTATTTTACCGTGAAAATTATTCATGCTTATATCCATGTTTGCAATAGAGTTGCTTAAGTTTCCAAGACATTTTGGAATAATTCCATGAAAATTATTCGTTGACAAAATGAAATAATCTAGCAATGAACTCATATTGCAAATTGATAAAGGGATTTCTCCAATTAAATTGTTGTGCGAAACGCCTAAGCCGCGCAATGAAGATTGTAGAGCTGGAAGTCGACCTTGAAACAAGTTTGAATAGAGATAAGGAGTTTGAACAAATTTTAGCAAAAATAGCTCTATAAAAATGTAAAAAAATAAAAAATTCTTGCTCAAAAAATGATAACTTTTAGCCACTTGCTAGTGCTTGATTGCTCTACGGAATATCTATATCACAACTTATGTTGAGGAAATTTTAATGGAACTTAATAATTTATGTTTATAGATTATGAAAAACAAGTTATTCTCCTAGGTTTTTTTTTTTTTGCAATAAATGATTTTTTCATTTGATTCCAATCTAACAAATGCAAACCCTCTATTGATTAAGAATTTGATGGTTAAAACACTAACACATAATTTCTTCTTTATACTCTCTCTCATCCCATTTTTTTTTTGTTTTCAATTGTGAATGTTTAATTAATTACAATACTAGACCTTTAATTGTTTAGTTTTGTATTTTTATATCAATAAATAGGAATATTATTTAAGGCTTAAAAAGATCTCTAATATGCACAAATCAAATAAAAAAAAAAGGAAGAAAGATTACCTGTCAAGTTGTTGTCACTCAAATCAAGATACTCAAGAAATGGCAAGCTTCCGATTATTGATGGAATTTCACCTGAACAGTAGTGTTTACCCGTTAGAAGTCAAAATTTTCGTACTAAGATTTGTTGCAAAAAATATGCCACTTTCCTTTAATGCATAACTAGTTAATGTAAAAGTATAAATTTCCAATCCAAGTTACTTTTTTCATGAATTTTTTCTTAATGGAGATCTACCAAATCCAATTCGAAAATACTTAAGAAAGTCATGTTTTAATGAGTTTTATCACATACACTTATACTAAAGTTGAAATTCAAATCTCTTCTTTTAAATTCAAGTTTTCAAGTTCAACCTAAATAAAATATAAAATCATAAATCTGAACTCACAAATAAAAACAAATTGCCAAACTTATCATTTTAATTTGGCCTAAAAGAATGCCACATTAAGCATACCTGTTAGGTTGTTACTGTAGAGATACAACTCGCTTAATTTAGTCAAATTCCCGATTTCTTGAGGCACACTTCCCTCCAAGGCATTGACAGATAGACTTAAAACTTGTAACTCCTGGCACTTGAATAAACTAGTTGGAATTCTACCGAATAAAAGGTTGACTTCCAAAACCAGATGTTGTAACTTGGGAAGGTGATCAAATAGAGTCGATGGAAGTTGACCTGCAATGAAATTATTAGTGTTGAAATCAACATTTGCAATAAAGATATATGTATGATTGAGCAAGCTGATTATTTATGCAACCTGAAAGCTTATTATTGTCCAAATACAACCATTTCAAGTTCGAAAGATTTTTGATTGCTGTCGGAATATGCCCCTCTAGATCATTGTCATACAACATCAACTTCTCAAGATTTAATAAAGAGCCCAAAGAAGACGGGATAACACCAGAGAAGTTGTTATGGTACAGAAACAAGCTCTGAAGTTGAGTGAAGGAAGCAAACCATGATGGGATTTCCCCTTGGAAGTTGTTGTAACCAAAGTTTATATATTTCAATGAAGACAGATTAGCCAACTCCATGGGCAATGAGCCATGAAAATGATTAAATCGGATGTTAAGTTGAGAAAGAAAAGATAGATTTGCCAAGTGAGGTGGGACGGTGCCTACAAGACTCATATTAGAAAGATCAAGAGTGGTGACTCTTTGATGGTTGGATCCGCAAGTGACGCCAATCCAGTTGCAAACAGAGGTAGCGTTAGTCCAATTGGTTGCCAACAGGTTTTGAGGGTCATGAGTGACATGGGCTTTTAGTGCAAGAAGAGCCAATTGGTCAGTGGTGGTGGTGGGCGATTCTGCTGACAAAGCAGCCACAGAGTTGTGCAACAACACCACAAATACCATAGAAGGGAGGAGGAAGACGATGTTTCCCATAAGGTTATATTTGTGGTTGAGAGAAATAAAGAAAGAAAACAACTCAGTTAATTCGGTGAATCATTGTGTTGGTTGATGCTCATTTTTTAAATACTACTACATGCACGTTTCGAAATGTATGATTATGAGGAAGTCCAGCATTCCTTACGAAATTACGCGTTGAGTCGTCCACTGTGTTTGCATTGAAGAAAGTCACGGCGAATTTGATGTTTTGTAGACCAGTAATAGTGTTTGTAGACTAATTCTACGTACCACCTGTAAATATAGTCAATGCACGTGAGCTGATCAGACAAGAATTTAAGCTGTTGGTGCCACCAAATTCAACAAAACTTGTACGAGTGATGGGGAATGTTCAAGCTTTTAATCAAGTTTTTTATATACACTTAATCCATTTTCTTTTATATTTTTTTTATTTCTTTGTTAATAATTTTTCTTTATCAAATTCTATATTAATACAACTGGAAAGATAAATTTTGAGGCCAACTGATGCCCATTTCGTCAAATATTTTAATTAATTCACTGTCTTTTTCATGTAGCATCTATTTTACAGTTTAACAAATAAAAAATTTTAATAAGTAAGTTAAATTTAAATTAGAATCTTAAGTTGAGTTCACAACCTATTTTAACTTATGTAGATTTTTTGAAATTGATAATGATGTTTAAGTCAAGCCAAATCATACCCAACTTTGACATATTGATCATAAGTATTTGTCATTATTCTTTTGAGTCAAAGAAACGGGCCACAGCCCAGTTTTTGATAATGACAAACATGGACAATTGTGCTGTAACTGCAACTGTGCATCTTGCTGTACGTATCCTACAACTCTTTCATCTGATAAACTTGGTAGCTTCAACTTGCATTTTGCGAAAAGAAATGAACTTTTGAAATTGGCACATACCCCACCTGATAATATTTGTTAAAACTTGTCAGACAAAGATCATGAATTTTTTTTTTTATGAATAAATATTTATTTGATAAATTATTTTTGAATTGACATATTTTAAAAATATTTATTAGAAATCTCGAGATCTAAATTTTGATTTGTATTTAAAGTATTTTCACCCAACCTCATATTGTTATTGATTTTGTACTATAATTTATAAGTTTCTAAATTTTGAATGTTTTATATATTTATAAATTATTAAAGAAATTAAAATTAATTTTCGATCAACAAAAGAAGTGCTACACTATAATTGCCTTAAAATGACCAATAGAGAATCAAGGTTTGTTTTGATAAGTTAGTAATGTTGGTTTCTAATTTCAAATACTTTGAATTAATAGGCTTCAAGAGGATCTTGATTCTTTGTACTTTTGGTTTTGGTTTAGCGAATTAGGTAAACGACTATATCCGCTTGATATTTTCACTCCCCTAAAAAATTAATCTCAATATGAATTTGTACTTGATATATGATATTTTATCTTACGGTTTGTTAAATAGGTTGAGCATGCTAATATATGTATGTAAATATGATCCCTATGCTGATTTTTAGAATATGATTTTGATTTTATTCTAGAACGTGATTTTTATCAATGTATGCATATATGACTATCTTTGTGAACATTTAGTTTGAAACGATTATGTTTTTGATATGTGTGAGTTATGTTTCGAGAAAATACATATACTATTTTATGAAATTTAGGTAATCTAAAAATATATGCTTCTATTTTGTCTCCTAATATTACTATGCTATAACTCTGCTAATGGGATTTAAATGTTAGTCATGTCGACATGTATTTTGTGATTAAAAATCGATCTCCTAACCATACCAATTATTTACGATATATCTATTCAGTGCACTTAATGATTGTTTATGATACAATTAAAGCACACAATGAAAGCGGTAGAGTTGGAAATCGACCGTGGAACAAATTTGAACAGAGATCAGGAATTTGAATATTCTTTGGAAAAGGCTGCTCTATAAAAATGTAAACATATGATTCTAGCTCAGAAAAGTATACTTTTTACTTACCCTTGCACAGAGTCTAGCCACTTGCTAGTGCTTGATTGGACCGAGGAGTATCCAAGAGAACAATATTTGATTAAATTTACTATCTTTTTCATGTAACCATTATTTTACATTTTAAGGAATAATGTTAATAATTAATTTAAATTTTTAAATTGAATTCACAATTTTATTTTAATTTATTTATAGTTTTTAAAATTAATAATAAAATTTAACTCAATCCAATTCATACGTAACTCCTATGTAACTTTTGAAATTGTCGAGTGAGAAATAATAAAAGTAAAAGTAATGTGACATAACTTTTGACATATTGATCAAAGAAGGAATACTTAAAAAGTTTTACATTTTTTCCTCCTTTGGGCCAATGGACCGAAATATTTGAAAAGATTGGAGCGTAGCTTAGAAGGTAAAAACAATTCCGAGAAACTTAAGCAGTAGGGATAAAAAATAGTTATAACGTATAGGATGAATTTGACAGATTGAAATATCTGACTATTAAGTAATCTCATGTTTTTCGTCCATGACACGGTTGAGCTATTCTTCACTTGATTCACTAAAATTATGTGTTTAGATGGTTTAAATCTATTTTTCTATGTAACATAATATATATATAACATAGGCTTTGGGGAAAATGCCTGGAAAATCAAGAAAAAGAAAATGTAAAATAGACAAATTACTGTATCATCGAGGAAAAGCTTGAAGCATTTCCATGGCGTGAATTTAAGCTTTTTGCGTCAACAGAACAAGTCTTCCTTCTTTTGAATAATTATAGAATTAACTCCATCATTTCATTTCTTCTACTTATTTTATTACTGATTATTAGTAATAATGCAAAGCAACTTTGTCGTCTAAATACTTAAGATTAAGCGCCAACCTCCTCACAAAGCAACAACAGCATTGTCAGTCATTCAAAGGCAGTGTTACTGAGTCTTATCAGTGTCCCTACCTATAGGTGTGAGCATTCCAAAGTGATTGATATGGACGAATTACCATGTCTTAGAGGACAATAATTCAAGCTTTTTGCGTCAACAAAACAAGTCTTCCTCAATCCTCCTTTTCAATAAATTAGCAACATTATCTTAATATTTTATTTTTTTTCATTTACCTTCTTGATAAATTTCAACAATCTATTTTAATTTGTTTGTCCAGATTAGTCAAGTTAGCAACAAACCACGGTAATTACACACATGCAAATGCAATGCTACGGTAATAAACCAAAGTGTTTATGACTCCCATGATCTCCATCTCCAACCCTTTTGTTGTAACAGATACATGATCCCAATAAGAACCTTTCATCATGTACATTAAATCACCTTTGTTCTTACTCCCTCTTCTTATAGCATGTAGATTTTCGAAAGTTTTGTTGGCAAGCGACCATTGAAGTCATTATGAGAGAGATCAATGATTCTCAAATGAGAGAAGGAAAACCTACATTCAAAGTTATCATTGTGACCATAGAATCTATTACATCACAATATAAAATTTTTAAATTCAAATTTTCTAACTAATTTAGAAAGGTGTCTGTTTAAGTTGTTGTTCCCTACATTTAAAAGTTCCAATTTCGAGAAGTTAACCAAAGAGCGTGGTAGTGACCCTTCTAGCCCGTTGTCATTCATGGAAAAACTTCTCAACAAAAAATCCTTATGAAAATTTCCAGTTATTTTACCATGAAAACTATTCATACTTAGATCCGTGTGTTGAACAGAGTGGTTGAAATTTCCAAGACATTCTGGAATAATTCCATGAAAATTGTTGTTTGAGAAAACGAGATACTGTTGTGATGAACTCATATTTCAAACTGATGAAGGGATTTTTCCAATTAAATTGTTATTTGAAACGCTTAAGCTGTGCAATGAAGGTTGTAGAGCTGGAAGTCGACCTATGAAGGAAAATTGAACTGAAATCACGACTTAGAGTATTCTTTGGGAAAAGTTGCTCTATGAAAATGTAAACAAATGGGACTTTTACTTCCCTTGCACAGCGTCTAGCCAATTGCTAGTGCTTTATTGCATTTGGGGGGTATCCATATCACAACTTATATCGAAAAAATTTTATGGAACTTAACAATTTTTTCTGTATAAACTATGCAAAACAAGTTGTTGTAGATGATTCTTCCAGTTGATTCATATCCAACAAATGGAAACCTCTCATAAGAAGTTGATGGTTAAAATACTAAATTGACGTATAATTGTTATATATAATACTTAACGTTTTGATTGTTTGGTTTTGTATTTTTATAATGGTGATTAGAATATTATTTAAATGCTTAAAAATTAAGATCTTTGATGTGCACAAATTGGATAAAAGGGGGAAGAAAGATTACCTGTAAAGTTATTAAAGTCCAAAACAAGAACCTCAAGAAAAGGCAAGCTTCCGATTCTTGATTTTGTGAGAGTAGTACATTAATATGTATAAACATTCTTTTCAAATAACAATTTAGCTGTTCAACCAGCAAAAGAAAAATTTAACTAACCTTAACAAGTGCTTATAGGCAGACACTTGTTAACTAAATCTTTTTCTTTTCTTTAATGCTTTTGGCCTCAACAAAACAAGTCTTCCTCGTTTCGAATAATTAAATTATACAATTAACTCGATCATTTCATTTCTTTTACTTATTTTATTATTAATTAGTAATAACGCAAAGCAACTTTATTATCTGAATATTTTATATTATAAGGAACACAAAGAAACAAGTGATCCCAACCTCCTCAGCTTTCAGTTTACATTCTTGATCAGGTATCTTAACAAACAAGATTAAGGCCCAATTCCCCAGCTAGAATTGAATATGATCCATGGGTAGCAGTCTTTACATAGATTTATATTCCAATTTTTTGACACATATTCAGACATAATCAACATATAATTTTTGGAATGACTTGCTGCTATTAGTGCACCTATTGCGAGAAAACCTGTAATTTCTCTCTCTCTCTGTCTGCTTTCTCTTCTTCTTACTGCTTGTATGATGTAGACAACATTAGACAATGCAAAAGGGTAATGAAGGAATTGTACAGATCAAAGGTGGTTCAAGTTAATTGCAAACATTATAGATTGTAGAGCCCACTGTCCTTGTTATGACTAAAAACACCTTATCTTGGCGGGGCCAACAAACTGCTGAAACTTTCATACCTAAAGCAGAGCTAAAGCTTAGTTGAGATTCTCAGCTCCAGCACCATTAACATTGCAGTTTGATTATGATACTTTCATTTTTATTGAGCAGATATGCTTTGATAATTTTTCAGGGGAAAACACTTCACGTAATCCCTTTCCTGTATGTTTCCATATGAAAAATCTACTATATGTGCTTTCTAACTTGCAGCAAATACATGTATCAAATACAAAATAGTGAATATAGTTCAAGATATCTACTAGTTGAAAATACATACCATAATCGAAATCCAGAATTACCATAGGATAATGATTACACAAATGAAATTAGTGATAACAATCTAACTAACTGGAATGAAATCACTTCAACCTCAAAGCAACGGAGAATAGGTCTGATATGAAGGAGACCAACAAATTAAGAAAAGCCCACAACGATATATATAATGATATAGAATCCATACCACCAAGCTTGAAAAATCTCCTTTCTTGTCAAGATCTTATCTTGCCAAACTGTCTGTGGGAGAAATTAACCTCGGAAGTTGTCACATTCCACACCTGATAATATTCGTTAAAACTTTTCAGATAAAGATCTTACATTTAAGTAAAAAACAACAGTTATCTTGTTAGAACTATTCAAACTCACCTTAGATCATTAGCTGTATTATTTTCTTCCTCCACTTCTGCGGATTTTCCCTCTAATAACATATTTTTGTTGACCTCTCTCAATGATGCTAACCAACCACCATGGTTGTCCGGTTGTGAACACAATGTATCCCATGCTTAATCCACAAACCAGTCCACATCCATACCCCATCAATATAGAAAATTTCCAATTCACAGAATCGCTATCTTCATCAAACTTTGTTGGTTGTGGCTCCAAATTCCTTTCGTTACTACATTCTTTTGATAAAGGAAGCCCACATAAACCCCAATTTCCAATGTAGGACTCATTTGTGAAAGTATCGAACTGTTTGCCTCGAGGAATGAGTCCCATTAAATTATTCCAAGAAAGATTTAGTACCTCTAAGAATATAAGGTTTACTAATTGTGCTGGAATTTTTCCTTCAAGCTTGTTAGATGAGAGATCTAATGATTCAAGTGCTGACAAATTTCCTAACAATAATGGGATATGACCCATTAAACTATTGTGAGAAAGGTTGAGGACTATAAGCCAATGAAGTTCTCCAAGTGTTTCAAGAATCTTTCCATTAAATTCATTATTTGAAAAGTCAATAACCGTCAAAGGGATTAAAATTCTCCTAAATTGCATTTCTAAACCTTTTGTTGTAATGAAAAAAGATTCAAAATAATGGCTCCTCGCGTTACTCATCATGTACTTTAAGTCAGCTTTGTTTTCACTCCCACTTCTTATAGCATGCAAACTTTCAAAATATTTCGATGGCAAATGACCATTGAAGTCATTGTGAGAAAGATCGATGATTCTCAAATGAGAAAAGGAAAATCTACCTTCAAAGTCATCAAGGTGGCCATAGAATTTATTACCTCGCAAGACAAGCACTTGTAGATCCAAATTTCCTAACCAATTCGGAAATGTATCTTTTATGTTGTTGTTCCCTACATCTAAAACTTCCAACTTCGAGCAATTAACCAAAGAGCGTGGTAATGACCCTTCTAGCTGGTTGTAATTGATGCAAAAACTTCTCAACAAACAACTTCTACGAAAATTTCCAAGTATTTTGCCATGAAAACTATTCATGCTTAGATCCATGAAGTCAAGAGAGTAACTTATGTTTCCAAGACATTCTGGAATAATCCCACGTAAATTTTTCTTTGACAAAATGAGATAATATTGTAGTGAACTCATATTGCAAATTGATGAAGGGATTTCTCCAATTAAATTGTTGTCTAAAATGCTTAAGCCAAACAATGAAGGTGGTAGAGCTGGAAGGCGACCTTGGAGCAAATTTAAACAGAGATCAGTAATTTGAATATTCTTTGAAAATAGTTGCTCTATAAAAATATAAACAAATGATTTTAGCTGAAAAAAATTATATTGTTTAACTTGTACTGAGAAAATTTTAGTGTATTAACTATGACGAACCAGTATATCCTACTTTTTCCTTTGTTGTGTAATTAACAAATGATTTTTCTAATTGATTCTAATCTAATAGTTAACAAGTTGATGGTTAAAATACTAACTTGACACTTAATTTCATCTTTCTTCTATCTCTTGTCTCATTTTTTTTTTTATTTTCAATTGTGAATGTGTAGTTAATTACAATAGTTAGCCTTCTGATTGTTTAGTTTTGTATTTTTATATTGATGAATTAGAATATTATTTAAAAGCTTAAAAAGATCTCTAATATGCACAAACTAGATAAAAAGGAGAAGAAAGATTATTACCTGTTAAGTTGTTGGAGTTCAAATCAAGATGCTCAAGAAAAGGCAAGAATCTGATTGTTGATGGAATTTCACCTGAGAAATTGAGTTCAACCCTTAAAGGTCAGAATTTTTCTAGTAAGATTTAATTCAATAAAAAGGCCACTTTTCTTTGTTGAGCATTAATTAAGGGACTACTTTGTTCAACTTTTTTTTTTGTTAATAGTATTAACTTATGATGAAAGAGCTGTCATTTTTTTCAATGCAAAGAAGGAAAATGGTAAAGAGTATATTTTAAATACTTGTTAAGGTGATATTTATAGGAAGATTTTTGTAATTAATATATTGACTTTTCTTGAATTTGGTAAGAATAGTATATTAATATATAAAAACATTTTTTGAAAAAAAGTGTGACAAACCTTAACAAGTGCTTATAGGCAACTCTTAACGATATCTTTTTTTTTCTTTAATGCATAACTAATTAACATAAAAGTATAAATCTCCAATCCAAGTTATTTTTTTATGAATTTTTTCTTAATTGAGATCTAACAAATCCAGTGAATTTTAAACTAATTAAAAAAGTCATGATTTCATGAGTTTTATCACCCACATGTATATTGCATTTGAAATTTAAATCTTTTTTTTTAAATTCAAGTTTTCAAGATCAACTTAAATGAAAACTAGAATCATATATCTGAACTCACAAATAAAAATTAATTACCAACTAATCATTTTAATTTATCTAAAGCAGGGCCCACATTAAGTATACCTGTTAGGTTGTTATTATCGAGATACAACCATCTTAATCTAGTTAAATTCCTGATTTCTTGAGGCACACTTCCCTCCAAGGCATTATTAGATAACCATAAACTTTCTAGCTCTTGGCACTTGAATAGAGCTGAAGGAAGTTTACCTACAATGAAATTATCAGTATGGAAATCAATATTTGCAATAAAGATATATTGATCCTAACGATTGAAGGTAAGAATTTCTATGCTGAAAGAGCTATATCCCTTTTTATATGGTTAAAATTTCTTTTCCATTGTTAACTGTATCAATTTAGGTAAATTAATGTTTAATATTGTACAAATTCCATTCATTAACTTTAATGCATAACTAATTATCATAAAAATATAAATTTCCAATCTAATTAAGAAATATTGAGAATTTGAAAATAGTTAAGAAAGAAATATTGAGAAAGAGTTTTATCACACACACTTATATTATATTTGAAATTTAAACATCTCTTTTCAAATTCAAATTTTCAAGTTAAACTTAAATGAAAACTAAAATTATAAATCTGAACTCATGACTAAAATTAAATTTCCAACTAATCATTTTAATTTGTTTAAAAGAAGGCTTACATTAAGCTTACCTGTTAGGTTGTTATGATCAAGGTGCAACCACCCTAATTTAGTCAAATTTCTGATTTCTTGAGGCACACTTCCCCACAAGGCATTATTAAATAACACTAAATATTTTAACTCTTGGCACTTGAATAGAGTTGATGGAAGTTGACCTACAATAAGATTATTAGTATGGAAATCAATATTTGCAATAAAAATACATTGATGTTAGGGATTGCAGGTAGGAATTTCTATGCATAGAGCGTTCGATAAAGTTAAAATATCTATTCCACCTTTTAATAATGTTTCATATATACTTTAATGCATTTTCTTTTTATTTATTTATTTCTTTATTGATATTTTTTCTTTTATCAAATTCTGTATTAATACAACTTGAAAGAAACCTTTTGATGATGAAAAAGGACAATGTTTCAATTATTGACTTCCCTTTTCATGTAACATCTACTTTAAAATTTAAGAAATGGTAAATATTGATAACAAAATTAAATTTATATTTATTTTTTATATTGAATTCACAATTTATTTTAATGTGTGTAGATCAGAATAATGTCTAACACAATCCAATTCATACATTAATTCCTATGTATCTTTAGAAGAAAGTCATGTTA